CAGACTCCACGCCACTTGGACTGGGGATGTCTCAGAGACTAGAATCAGTTCACATGCAGAAAAGCCACCTGTAGAGCTCGCACCATTAGTGAATAGCACCAAGCTAAAACATCTCACAGCTTTCTATGCTGGGAAATAATGGAGAAAGTTTAAAAATATAAAACTGTCAGCTCAGTTAGTTTGTGGCTGAACTTGTTTACTTGAAAAATCTGGTGCTATGCACATGTATCTGCCTCCCCTTTGTAAATACCACCCCAATTTTACCCTTCCTTACAATTCACATCCAGGCTTCACATTCTAATTGAGGCTTATGTTCTCAAAATCATTTGAAAGTTGTCAAATGAGAGAAACATTTGATAGGTGAAGCTTTTGGCATTGGCGGTAAACAGCCTTCCTAACAGGGTTCAGGGGTTATATTACCTTTCTTTTTTTATTACCCTGAGAGCAATTTTCACTATTGTTTATCTTTTCTTTACTATGAGTACTCTATAAGAATCATAGATTATTGATTTGAAATATCTGGCCAAAAAAGAGTGAGTTAAAACCCATTCTTTATGGTTCAAATGCATTTGGAAAGTGAATGTAATTTCCCTTCCCCCCAAATTGTGTTTCTCCTTTTGGATGAGGTTTTGTTCTCCCTACATTTGATCCCCAGGGAATATTATTTGCATAATATTTAAAAATAAAACTTAAAACATGAATAGAAAATGGTAAAACCTGCTCAGAAGAAAATATGGATCATCCTTTAAAATAACTCTATACAAACTTTTCTTCCATTTTCTCTGTTGACAGTACATTTTGGAGAATCATGGCCAATCGTGTTGGAGAGAAATGCTCTTTTACTCTCTCTTATTTTCTTACTCTTAGTTTTGTTTATATGTTTAAATTGTTGAAAATAAACCATGCTGTGTGCTGGTACAGTTTGTTTACTACTTCCTCTGCTTTGTTTTGAATGTCATACTCCCTTATATTCTGTATCATATTTCAAATAGTCAACTCTTCTTCCCATTGCCAGATAGTCTTGTAGCTCTTCATCTTCTGATTTTTATCTTTTTTCCCCTCCCTAGTTTTTGGGAGGATTTTACTTGCCTTAAAACTCTACATCAAACCCAAAACCCATTCCCATGGAGTCAGTTCTGATTCAGTGACCTTAAAGGGCAGAGTAGAACTATCCCCATATGTTTTCCAAGACTGTAATATTTATGGAAGCAGATTGCCACATCTTTCTGCCATAAATCAGCTTGGTGGGCTCTAACCACCAGCTTTTGGTTTGCAGCTAAGCACTTAACTACTGTGCCATCAGTGCTTCTTAAAACTCTAAACACCACCATCTTATTTTCTTACAAGGTTTTCTAGTATGTGTTCCTATTTTTTAATACAGGGAAATGATATGTTAGTGTGATTACCAAATGTTTGCCTGCTATTTATAGGAGTTATGTTGTGTTTCTAAATAGTTCGTAAGTATATGGCATGGAAATACCTGTTTGGTAATGCGCAATACTCCAGCTTTATTTTTTTTTCTCCACTAGAACTTGAAAGCTGTTACTAGGCTCGCTCTTTCTCTTAGACCAGGAAAGAGAAGAGCAAGCTGTCTTTCTGAAAGGGCCGTTGGCCTTTGTGCTACAGTTAGCATGTTGTGCTGCTTCCTGTTAGATACAGGGTAAGCTTTATTTCAAAATTGAACTTCTCTTTAGCCTAGCAGCTGCATACCAGTTTACCTTGACATCCTCAGTACATGGTATCTCCTTATCATCCCATCATACTGTGCTCTTTCTCTGGCCTCAAAGTAAGCACATTTGCTGACTTAATTACTTATGTGTATAAAATTAGCAGTACACAGATTAATATAGGAATTTTTATCTCCCATTCAAAAAGTCTGAGCACGTGTGGCTCCCTCCTTTTGTATTTAAAGGTTTTCTTTTCAGTTGTAGCACTGTGATAAAACCACTGGAGCAACTGATGGAATAATCTGTCAGTGAAATTCTCCAGGTTTTGCCTGAATACCAGAAGTGTGCCTTTGGTAGGTAGGCTTAGACCAGGTTCTAGTGATGCCCCACAGATGGACAGCCATGCTCCTGAGCTCTCTCTGTACCTTTCATGGCTATCTGTCCCTGCACACATTGCATGTTGTACCTTCAGAGGGACCCTCCCATAAAAAAAGAGTTCAGAACCAAAGGTAATCCTGAGTACATCAGGCTACCAGTTCCAGTATCCTCCAGGCTGTGCCCTAAACATTAAATTCCAATTTCTGCCCCCTTTGGTACTCAGTCTTTAAATAGTAGATGAGTCTGATAAAGGCAGTGTCAAAGACTAAGCCTGTAATTTGATAAACCATTTTCAGATCTCTTGATGAAAATGTAATATAATGGGCAAAATATATAGTTACCATTTAAACATAGCCAATTTTCAGAATTTTTGAATTTATCCTTTCTTCTAGTACTATATAGATTCTTAACCCTTTAAATTAGGAGTTTCACATTTTTTAGAAATCTGGGCCAAACCTATTACCAGAGCCACCAAGGAAATGTAACTCTAGGGGGATAAAGGAGAAGTTATCCAAGCAGCTGCTGTCTTCCAATTTAGATGCCCACGTAGTACAGTTCAAACTTTCTGGGCCTAGAATTTGTACCTGGTAACTATAAAGATCATTTTGCTTATCAAATGAGAAGCCCATCTCAATATTATCTTGACATTTTAAGATGATACTTTATCTCTAAAACAGCATGATTTTAATAAGTTATAGTAGATTTGTAAGTGTATGCCAAAAATATAAATTCCAAACATAATAAATTGATCTCTTAGAAGTTATGTAAGTTTCCATTTCCCTGAAATCATCTCTTTCTTTCCCAGTGAATTCCTACTCATTCATCAAGACCCAACTTTTATTTTGTCTCCTTGTCCCTTTCTGTAATAGTATAAAGAGATCAGAACTTCCTTTCTAGGCAAAGAAAAATGCAAGAAATTCGACAGAGAAAAGGATGTTAGATCATTAGAACTGGCTTTAATCATTAAATGAATTTCAGCACTTTATTCTTAGAGAACATTTCACTGTCCATCACCCCTCACTCATTTGGTCAAATCCTGGGTTATAAGGGAAGCAGGACATTACCAAGACAAGCTGGAATTGGCTGCAGACACCTGTTGCTGGCTAGAGTTTTAGGTATTAGGATCTCCCTTCCACTGGCATTGTTCTCTCCTGTTCTTAGGTGATGGCATATGGGAACTTGACAGTGCAGCAACATCAGGAATGAGGATAATTAATTTATCAATATGGAATTGGAACATGATTCCATATTCTTCATCAGCTTTTTCTTGAGTGTTCTGACCAGGAAAAACCTAACAACTGGGATGAGTTCATCCATGTTAGTAAAATACCATGGGGACTGAGAATTTATTGAAATGTAACAAAAATTATTTCCAAAGAATAGGAGAATCCTGGGTAGTGAGGCCCTTAATTAAATTAGCCAGATGATCTTAAAAGACAGATTATGTCTTGAAAGCCTCACTGTGTTCCCACTGGGGCCAAAGCTCTTCCAACACCTTAGCCCTTCAACACTGAAATACTTTATTTTTTTTCAACGTTACATCTGCCTTACTGTCTTCTCATCTTCAGTGAATCATTTCTCATATTTGCATTAAAGCCACAGTTCCCATCACAATCTCCAGTTACCTGGGCTCCTTTGGCTCTACCCCAGTGACATAACTTGTGTGTCTGCTTCATTTCTAGTGAGTCCCCTAATATGATTCTATTAGAAGCAGCAAGCAGTGGTATTTAGTATGAAATTCCACATAAAATGCTTATATAACCACACAGTTTTTACAAGTACACGTGTCCTTCATACGAACTACATTGCAAGGTCATAATAAACTTTCCTCACCATGTTGTCACTGTATTAGGTATTTTTGGATTTTCTCCTTTGTAATTGCCTTAAGGTCCACTTGCAAGCCACACAAGGAAATCAGTCTCCTTGCTTTGTAATTTTATCTAGGTCAACATTAAAATTGCATTGCCCCACTAGATCTTCTACATATCAACCTGATTGAGCTCTACTGGTTTTGGACTCTTTAAAATTACTTCCCTTATCACTCACTAGTGGGAAGAACTGTCACTGCTGGGTGAAAACATGCTGGAGTGTCAGGGCCAGGACAGCTTTGTTAGAATGTCTAATCCCTCAAGGTCACCACTTGATGGAGACAATATTAACTTGGATTTTCTAATAAGTAGATGTTTTTTAATTGCCCCTCAAGTAGTTTTCCTTTCCTCTCTACTTCTTCCAATTCAAGGGCAAATGAACAAATACATGTCCATTTCTCAGGCTTCTTCCTATTTTAATGTCATATTTCAAATATGCAACAATAAGAGCTAATATCTTCTTAAGCTAGAAATTATTGGTACACATTTTACTGGACAAGAATGTGGAAGAATAATTGATTCTGTTATACTTCATTTTTTTTCCTATAGCCTTACCTTCTTAAATTCACCAATAACTGACAACCTGTAATGACTACAAACCAGATAGAACCTCTCATTTTGAACAGAAAAAGAGAAAATAGTAAGTTGCAACATATGCTTGGGGCAGGGACCAGGAGGGTGAGATGTAGACTGTGTCCGCATCTTTTGGATCAGCGGCTCTTCAGGAGTGATCGAGGGACTGGGAGAAAGGGAGCTTGTCTTATTGTTGCTGTGCCTGTCCCAGCCCTCACCCCCAATTATCATACAGAAAACCCTTCTTTGTCTGCAGGGATCCCTCTACTGGCCTCCATATAATGGATGTCTGCATCAGTTGGGTAGGAACCCCACCTCTCCGGAGGTGAGGTCTTTAATCCACATTGAGCTGCTAGGTGTTTCCAAGGAGAAAGTTCAGTCCCAGATCACATTCACATCAGAGGCTCTGGGCCTCTCTCCTGAATTATGTTCTTTCATTAATGTAACAAGAAGTACAGTAACTTCTGGCACGGTCTTCTGATCTATGTCCATTGTGAATAACAGTTACTCTGACTCAGACAGATACAGGACAGGATATAATTCGATCTTCTAACATCACACTCATTATCAGGAATACAAAGTAAAGGAGAAACATTGTAAAGCCCAGGATCTTGTTCATTCTCCATTTGCATAATGCAATTGAAGAGATCACAAATAGGAGCATGAGAAATAGCAAAACAATTGCACAAAACAAGCCATTGCTGCTGACTGGAACAGGCAGTAATCCATTGACAAGAGAGAAAAGCAACCAAGGAACAGGCAAGCTGCAAGATTGAAGAGACAATGTGAATATTCATAATGTGTATAACCCATAGACTTAAAATGGTAAAACACTTTATTTTCACACATACCCACAAAGCCTATGAAGTAGACCAGCAGAAATAGAAACCTATGAAGTAGATAAGCTCCGTTTCACAGACGAGAAAACTGAAGTTTAGGGAAATTAAATTACTTGCTAAGGACTCACAGCTGATAACTGGGAGAGCCTAGCTTAAAAATGAAGTTATCTGGGTCTGAACTCTCTCGTCTGCATACTATATGACTTCTACCTGACTGATCCAGATGTTTACAGTAAGACTTGGCTCAGGATAATGTCTCTTTAAATTCTTTTCTGATCCAGGTTCCCTCTCCTATGCCCTTTCCACTCCTCCCAACCACATCTTACTACTCCCTCCTCCCCCCATACACACATACACAGATTCAAATGAAAGGAACCAAGCCACCACCCAAATCCAGAACACAACTGGGAAAATGAAAATGGCCCAGGTGCTCTGCTCTGACAAGGTAGGAGGAGGAGGCAAGGGAAAACAGGGCATTTGCTTGTTTATGCAAGATGCTTTTAAGAGCCTCAGAGCTGGCAAGAGCCAAAATACAGAGGAGCAGAATTATGAGGAAGTGAGATTGAGTCACTACTGCTTTCAGGCTCAGCCCTGGAGGTCAGTGAGCAGGGCTTTTGACTATTTGGTAATGGAATTTAATGGACTTCATTTTCAATTCATCTGTAAATTCCAGTCAGTTACATTTCAGGCGGCATTTTAGTTCTGTTATCCCATCTGGCCAGTGATGAATGAAGGGAGGATACTTTGTTGCCTTGTGGAAAGTAAATGCTTTTATGCCCTGCATAATGAATGAAGCAGAAAACTGGTGAACAGAACCAACCCACAGTTTCTAGTCCTTATAAATATGTCTCAGAAAGTAACAATGGCACTCACCCCACAGTGATATCAAATATGTTACTGCCCACAGAGCTTGACACGGCCATGTCTCCCAGGCCTTTCCGAGCGACAATCACACTGGTGATGAGGTCAGGAATTGACGTGCCTGCTGCTAGGATTGTCAAACCCATAATCTCTTCAGAAATCCCTATTGTTTCACCAACCTGGTAAACAGCAACAATAATGACAAACCATGGCAATAACAGTTCAAAAACCTGTGGCTCATCAAAGGACCAGCCACATGGTACTTTGTGCAGACACAGCCCCTTCCAAGGAGCTCAGTATACTTCCTCAGCCTGAGGAAGAAAGAGAGAGCAATGGGTGGAACTACCAGCAGGAGATGGGCCACAGAGAGAGTGAATGGGGCTCTTGCTCAAGGCTGCTTCTCTAAATTGAACTAAAAGCCCATCTGTGACATCACATTTACCCTTCTTCTCACTGTCATTCCAACTACCTCATCACCTTCCCAGAAGAACCTCCCCTCCAAAGTTCTCTTTATGTTAGCATTTTCATTTCCAGAAACATGGGCACCTGCTATGTGCCAGGAACTAAGGATAGAGATGGATGAATGAGCAGTATAGCACATCCCTACCCGAAACTTAGGAAGAAAACTTTTAAACAGCAATTACAGCTCTGTGCTAAACTCATGCTCCAGGTACAAGAGAAAGGCCATGGGTGCTCAGAAGTAGACTGAGTAAGTCTGCAGGGAAGTTGAGGGGAGGGAGTGTCACAGAGGAGGCAGTGTGAGCTGACTCTTGAAGAGTGTTTAGGATTTCACCAGGTAGAAGGGGTGGGGGATAGATGACAGAGGAAGCAGGGTTTAAGGCCAGAAATGGTCAGCTAAGACTGGGTTGTGAAGGGCTTTCTCTGTCATGCCTCAGTGTGAATACAAGGCAGAAAAGCCACACTTGGTAAGTACCACATTAATTAGAATAAAAAGTCAACTTTTGAGCCTTTACAATGTAGAGCTACAAATTTCACTTGGACTTTCCCATTCCCTGGGTTCTGGAGATTCTTCAGGGTGGGGGGGATGTGCTAATGCAGAATGTATTACTCACCTGGTGAGCCCACCACACCATGAGGTATGAGAACATAGCTATCCACATGATGGATCCCAGGAAAGTGAGAACAAAAAACTTCCTAGACTCCTGTTTAAAATTTGAAAAGGAAGAGAAGTAAGTTGCAATGACAATTCGTTGGCCCTTCGAAGGAAGCTGCTCAATCAGTGATGAGGTCTGATGGAGGGGTGATGGAGAAGACCTGGAGACATCTGAGCTGAGGGCTCTATCTTGTCTCCAGTGAGGACCTTGAGATGAATGAGAAAGGATGGGGACTGGGGCCTATAGGGGCCGTCCAGACAGCAGGGTGGGTTAGAAAAAGGCAAAGTGAAGAAAACTATTTGCTGCTCTAGAACCAGATAGGTTTCAGTATTTGGTTGGTTTTCTGCAACCTCACAGGCCCCTCTCCAGACCCAGAAGCAGGACATGGACTGCCCCTCTGTGAAGTGGATTAGATCTTGCCATACAGATAGGAATGTTGGGTAGAAAAAGCAGTTAGAACTTTGGGTTTTCAAAATATCCCTGTGAAATAGGCATCATTCCCATAGTAAAATCAAGAAACTGAAATAGGGACTAAGCTCACACTGTTTACAGTGGTGAAAATAAGGCACGCTTGAGGTCCAGGGCCTCCTAAGCCCAGGGGTATGTCCTCTTAGGCAGGCAGTCATCTTCAGAGCTGCAGTTCCATCCCAGTATCCTCTACGTGGTGAGTCCTGCCAAGCTGGTTTGCCCTGCCCACTCCCATTTGAGTATGCGCCCGGGGTGTCTACAGGCCCCACCAGCCTTCCCTGGAGCGGACAGGCTCGGTGCAGCTGGGCACACTCACCAACCTCCGGACGTCGGGCACTGTCAGCCACAGTGGGAACACGATGGGCAGCAGGAAGAGGTAAATGGCCTGCTTCTGCCTGGTCTCAGGCCACTCCAGGGACAGAGGCTCCTCGTTTGCCTCCCCCTCTTCACTCTCTTCCTCCTCTTCTTCATCTTCTTCCTCTTCCTCCTCCTCACCATCATCACTGTCACCTCCATCACCTCCCTCTTCACCATCTGCACCTTTCTCATCATCTTGATTTCCAGCTTCAGCTTCCCCTTCATCACCTTTCCTTTCACCTTCTCCTCCTGCCTGGATTTCACCTTCACCTTCACCTTCACCTTCACTTACATTGTCTCTTTTTTCTTCTGCTTGGCTTTCACCTCCATCTTCACATTCAACTTCTTTTCTTTCTGCTTCACCTTCACCTTCACCTTCACCTTCAAGTTGAGCTTCACCTCCACTTTGCTCTCCATTTTCCCCTTTACCAGGAGCTTCAACCTCTCCACCTGTCATTTTACCTGTGCTCTTGGCTTCAGCCACATCTCCTTCCTGCAAACCAAAGCCAACAGATTAATTTGTGTGGTAAATGTTCTGTTTGTTTTCCCTCCCATATTCTTTCCCACTTTTGTTGTTGTTGTTGGAATGTATCCGAAAATCCAAGTATGAGGGGAAGACTAGGGCAATCATTCAGCAAAATTCCCTCCTTGATACTCCTACCCAGTGGTTGTCCAGTCCTTATTTGATCATTTCTGGGAAATGGTCCATCTACGCAGCTTCTATCATCTTTGACAGCTCTGATTGGTTTGAAGTCTTACATCAAGTTTCTATCCCTTGGGTATAGATAGGGCTTCAAGTTGTTCAAACCAGTGTAGGCATAGCCGACGAAGCAAAACTGAAACAGACTCAAATTTTTTAAATTTGGATGAAGTAGAACAATAACTGGAACACAAGAAATTATGGGTTGAAGTCTGGAATGGGAAATTCAGGCATAGTTAGCCTCTTCAGGAGCCTAATGGAAATTGGACTATTGGCAGCAGTGGAGAGTGGCACACATTGAAAGCAACGCAGTTTCCACCATCTTTGAGCACTATTGTTTTAGACTTTGCTGGCCGAGAGATTTTGTTACACAAACTGCTCTTGTTTTCTGAGACGGAGATTAAGTTTCTAGCAGGGGTTGGCCTGTAATTTTCCCCATTCCAGTTATTGTTTCAGTACACCCACAGTTTACAAATTTGGGTCCATTCTAGTTTCACTTTGTTGGCCATGAATGAATTGAGAAGACCTAGTTTGAAGCCCTGTGTATAGGTTTACTCTTTGGAGGCACATAGAACATGTTTAATCACTCTTCCATGACATAGTTCTCCTCCATTAGTGAAATAGTCCCAGGTCTTTCTATCATTGCCCATGTCATGTCCTACAGCCTCTTCACCATCTTGGTGAACTCATCCTAATTAGCTAATATCCCATGAGGGGAGTTCCAGAACCAAACACAGAACACCTGCACAGTGTGAAAAAGGACTGTCACCTCCCTTGTCTTAGATAATGTGCTTCCAGTAATGTTGCCTAATGTGTTGCAAGTTATCTTTTGGTGGTTGCATTAGATTTCTAAACTACTAAAACTCTTAAAATTGTTTTCTTATATGAACTACCTTATATAAATGAAATAATGATTATGATAATACCTGTTTATTGAGGGATTTTATATGTAAAAAACAAAACAAAACTCACTGCCATGGAAGCGGTTCCAACTCATAGCAACCCCTTTTTAGGTTTCCCAGGCAGTATCTCTACTTCTGTAGACAAAATTCCCTCCTCAATACTTGTCATTATTCCCTCTGAGGAATAACGCCCAGTCTTCCTTCCAAGGAGCTAGTGGGTTTGAACTGCCAGCCTTCCGGTTAGTAGTCAAATGCCTTAGGCATTATGCCACCAGAGCTCCCATTTTATGCTCCAAGCACCATAAAATGGTTCAGTAATAATAGTGAGTGCTTACCAAGTTCTATGTGTTAATTAACTCATGATACAGATAGAATTATACCCATCTTATAGATGCAGAAACTAGGGTACAGATAAATTAAATAACTTGCCCCCACCTACACAATTTGTAGGTGATGAAGTTGGGATTTGAACATTGATGGTCCAATTTTCAGCCTCTTAACCACTAAGCTACCTTATTTTGCAAGTGCTAGGACTGAATGAGATCTTTGATTCTCAAAACTGGTAACCTGGGAAGCTTATTAGGAATACATTTCCTGGCTCCAACTGGCTCACTGAATTCAAATTTCTGGGATTAGAAGCTAGGAGTCTATATTTTAACATGTTCACAGTGTTCCTAATACATCTGTCTGCAGACCACTGTTTGGGAACCATTGGCTGATTCCATACATTCTAAAAGCCATTGATTCTGAGGTTCCTCAGATTAGGCACCCAACTAACCTATAACAATGTGCTGGTTCAATCCCTTCAGCAAATGACCTGAGCTTGGTGCTCATGCAGTGACTTTGTCCTCTGAAACAAATTTCATGATATAGACAAGGCCCCCACACATGGATGTTCAGTGATTCTCAACCCTGCTGCATATTAAAATCACCTGTGTACTCTTAAAAGCATTGATGTCCAAGTTCCCACCCAGATATTCTGATTAGATTGCTTAAGAGTGGGGCCTGGGCACTTTTTTCTTCTGTTTTATTGTGGTAAATATTGGGTATTTTTTAAAGCTTCTCCAAATTCCAAATTATTCTAATATGAAACCAGGGTTGAGACCCCCTGATGAAGAAGCCAAATATTAAGTGAAGCATGTGGTTTCAATCAGGAATGAGAAGGGAAACAGAAGATTTTAGTCTGAATTTATTCCTGCCCTCCTCTGCCCTTTAGGAAGAGAAAGCTTCCTGGAGGAAATGACAAGTCATTTAAACTGATAGGCATAAAAGTATTTATCCAGCCTGCACACTCTTATCTGAAAATACCCCCTGCCCTCCCACCTCAACGGTCATCTCTCTCCTTCTATTTTGGAGTCAAGGTATTCCATCTCTTCTTGCCACAGCTGATTGGGCCCATGTTGGCCATGACCTGGGTTGAATAGAGTGTCTGTTTTGAGTCTGGGATCCAGTCACCGGTTGATCCCTGTGTGGACTGGAGGACTGGGGTGGTGATTTAGGGTTATGTGTGCTAATAAGGAAACAAATGGAGCCAGGCTGCCCAGAGAGGCTGAAGCATAGAGTCTCTACAGACAGAGAAAGGGATGTGAGGGAGAACGGGACACGGAGGGTACAACATGAGGGTCACAGATACCTTTTCAGGCATAGGTCCAAAAAAAACAAAACCACTGCTACCAAGTTGAATCCGATTCATAGCGACCCCTCCTGGGGTTTCTGAGACAGTATTGTTATGGAAGTAGATTGCCCAGTCTTCCTTGCAAGGAGTTGCTGGTGCGTTTGAACTGCCAGCCTTCTGGTTAGTAGTCAGATGCTTTAGGCACTACACCACCAGAGCTCCCCATTAAACCAAGCTTCCCTTTCTGCCCTGGGATTCCAGGTGGTAACTCACACTCATGATAGCATGATGATGTCTTAGACACTGAACCCAAAGTTGCTGGATCAAGGATGAAATATAAGTGAGAGCTTCTGAGTGTCAAATAGGATAAACAAACAAAATCCATGGGGTGGAACTTTCAAACTGAAGGCTTATATACTGTCAGTCACTTCAGCCCTTATTGAGCACAACCATGTGCCAGTCGTGTGTTTCTCTCTGTAGGGCAGACCGAGATGACTTGGATCCTGCTTTCAGGACCCTCACCACCTAGTATGAGTATGGGAACTAAGTTGTTACTATGTGCCATTGAGTCCACTCCAACTCCTAGCAACCCTAAAGAACAGAATAGAACTGCCCCATAGGGTTTCCAAGGCTACAGTCTTTATGGAAACAGATTGCCACATCTTTCTCCCATGGAGCAGCTGATGAGTTCAAACCACCAACCCACTGGTTAGCAGCCAAGCACTTAACCACTATGCCACCAGAGCTCCCTAGGAGAAGTAAGAGAAACTCACATTGAATACAAGGAAGGCAGTGGTAAGGACCCTGAAAGAGGTTTGAAATACCATAGACATTTGGATGGGGATCAGGGATGGCTTCATGGCAAAAGAGGCATTTACACTGGGCCTTGAGGGGTGGCGATTAGGATCTATGAAATTGAAGGAGAAAAAGGCATCTTAGGGGGAGGCAACTATGTGAGCCAAGTCATGGAGATAGAAAAGCAAGGAGACAAGAAACCTAGCTTGACTGGAGCATCGTGGAAGAATAGATCGTGGGCCTGTAAAGACAGGTCAGTGTCAGGTCTCAAAAGGTCTGTGCATCAAACCTAGGAGCTTGGACCAGGTACAACAGCCATTAAGGAGCCTTGGAAGATTACAAGGTCTTTATCCAGCTCCTTTCCCACCTGTATTTCAAGCTACCTGACTTGCTGTCCGCTAGGAGCTTGCAGACCCACTAACAATTTTTCCTTACGTTTTTAGAGCACATTTTTTACAACACATTCTCTTACAGTAACTCACTCATTCTTCCTAGGTGTCATGGTGAATTAGCTTATATTTGTACTTTTTAACTCATCTTCAGAGAAAGGGTAATGCTTTCTCCAGAGTAATGAATCTCAAATAGGATTTCAGACCTTGAAGGAGGAAGTATTTGGAGACAGCAAGTCCTTCCCTGAGACTCTCAAATTCCTCCATTTGTGCAGAGGGCAGCCAGGCTGGGTGCCTACCTGGCTGTCAGGCTCTTCCTCCTGATCTCCCTTGACGTCTCCAGCAGGGGCTGGTGTGGCCGTGACCACAGGGAGCTCAGCTGATTCCTCCTCTTTAAAGGATAAACATGGGATAGGTCAGTAGAGAGTACTAGGATCTTAGTGACTGGCAGGGGCACTAGTGTGACTAGCTATAGGGCTATTGGACTTGTGTCATTAGGATCTCAGTAGATTTGTTTGGGGATTTCTTGCTCATGGGAAAAGTAAAATGATACAATGTGAGTTGCTGTTTGCCCTGTCCACTGAGATGGGAGTAAGTGGCCATCCTTGCCACCCCTGCATTCACAGACATTTCCATCCTGGCCACTGTGGTCAAGGATTCTGTGAACTGTGTGGGCAACTACAGCAGAGAGAGAGAAAGGCTCCCAGCCCTCAGTGTCTCACTTTTCCCTTAGCAATCTCATGGAAAGAATCCTGCTGACTTCAAAAGCAGTAGATATGAAGCCTTGGATCAAGCCTGTGGGAAAAGGACACTTGGAACGTTTAGACAGCTTGATTTAGGTTCTCACTCTCTCACTTCATGTTTGGCTTTGGGCAAGTTGCTTGATCCTCAGAGCCTCGGTTTCCTTGTCTGTAAGACGGGAAAACAGTGACTGCTGCTCTACCTCCCTCTAGGGGTTGCTGGGTAGATCAGGCAGGTGTGGTGCACTGTGCAAAGCCCATATGGAAGTAGCTCTCCCACTCCTCCATCCCTGCTACTACACAGAGTTGCTGGACTGCTGTGTCACCAGACCCCTGCTGCCTTCCCTGACTGGAGTTGCTTGTCTCAGATCATCACTAGCAGTACTATCCTTGTGTGGTAGTGACAGGAAGGAGAAAGGATGTACCCATCCCCAGTAGAGCCTCATTTGGGGTGAGATTTAGCAAAAAAGAAAAAAAGTCATGGGAGTTCAACAACCTATGGTCTTCCCTTGCCTACCCCATGTGAGGAAGGTGCACAGGGAATGGTGCTCAGGCCAGCAGTCATGTCAGACAGGGATACCCTGGGGGGAGGAGGTGGGAGGGCTGTGGAGTACAAGGCAGCATCAGGACCGTGACTGTGTCTGCCTGGCACAGGCAGAAGCGTGCCTCAGTCCTGACCTGAATGGGCTGCTGTTTCCAGGCCAGGCTCACTACTGACCCGGGAGGGGGATGGTGGCAGAAGAAAACCCACTGGTCTGGCCATCCTCTCACCTTCTGCTTTGCTTTCTGCTTTGGCCTGGGGCTTGGCTCTAGCCTCCTGATTCAAGCTCTCCTCCTCCTTGTCCTTAGAGGGTCGGGCTGCGAATGAGAAAGGAAACACATCTTATCTGGGACCACAATATTGTCCCTACCATGCCTTTTCATGTTAAGATGGTCAGCTAAGCAGTCAGAGCAGCTGGTAGATGGGAAGAACCTGGCCTTGGAGCTGGGATGCCTGGATTCTGGTCCTACTAGGCCTGTTGATGGTGCTTAATTCCCGGACTCATCTTAATTACTGTCCACTAACTGGCTGTGACCTTGGGCAAGCCACTTTCCCTCTGTAGGGCTGTTTCTTATCTGGTGAAATGGTTGGACTCAGGATCAACAACTAGGATTTATTTCCTATATCAGCTCAAGTGATGGCTACTGACTTGAGAAAGATCCTGACTTAGGCTTAGTACCATGATTGACCAGTGATATCTGTGATGAGTAGTGAGTGGGTAAATAATGGCAGGGATATATATACATGCCACCCCTGGACTAGATTATCTGCAATGTACTTTGTAGTTTAGACTCTATGAATCCACTAGAAGCTTTGCTACAGCTCCCAGGGGACTGCTGGTAACCATGCTCATGAACCTTCTCTCTCCAATGGAAAAGGGAAATAACTGATCAACCATCTCCTGCCATACCCTTTTTGGCCCAGACACCTGCAGCCCAAGCAGGGCCTCCTCCTGTTTTGCTGGAGGCCCATACAGTAGTGTGCACAGAATGGTGCCACCCTGGTTTCCAAGCAAGAAAAATGGGAAGGCAACTCTTCAGTATGACTATGTGCCTGGCAACATGCAAAGTGCTTTACATGTGTCATGTCAAGGTAGGAAAGGATAGCAGGTCAGAGACTGAGGTCCAGGGGCATGATGATCATCCTCACAGCTGTGCAGCTGGTGGGCGTGGGGGGGGGTTGTTAATGGCACAATTGATGGGGCAAAGTTGTTCCGTGGGATCTATTCTAGATATCTGTTTGACTCTGCCCTGTGAGCACTGGGTAACAGGTAACTTTAGGAAGCCTGTGTACCCTCTCTAAGCATCAAGTGTCTTAAAGGCTAAAAGACCACACCATGGCATATGCAGAGCACTGATGTGAATGTCCATGAGACAAAATAAACAAAAATGCTTTATTGCTGCAAGTGCCAGCCTCACCCATATTGTTACTTTAGCAACAAATTTTGGAGCCAGGGTGGCCTGGGCTTGAATCCTAGTTCTGCCACTTGCTAGCTGTGGACCAAAAGTGTGTGATTGCTTTACTTCTCTGTACCTCAGAGTCTTCATCTATAAAACCTTACAGAGTTGTTGAAAGAAGTAAATGAATTTATACACGAACATACTTAAAACAGTACTTGGCACCTAGAAAGGGCTATATAAGTGTTAGCTATAACAACAAGGACAGTAATGATAAACTGACAATGGTAGCTGAGAGCAGCTGTCCTGCCCAGGAAGCAACTCTGCAGAAAGCAGGCCCAACATTCCCAAGGGCTGAGTTAGAAGACAACCTGAAGATCATATAGCCTGTAATGCAGACACAGAAACAAAGGAGGTATAATCTGGGAAACTGGGTAGATCAAAGCCACTGCCTGGGCCCGGGGTTGGCAGAAAACATCAGCCCCGGAATTTCCTCCTCTGAACCTGTCTCCTAAACTCTGAGCTGCTGCAGCTACCGCTGCCTCTGGAAATGGGCTCCACCCTGCAGAGCGACCACTATGATATATGTGATCCCACAAAGTGTCCTGGTGGCCTGCCCAAGAGATACTCATCAGAATGAACTGTCAGGAGGTCCTTATCGGAACTGAGGTGTCAGGAAGCCAACACTCCACTGCCTCCTTCATGCAGACAACTCCAGCACCCCTCAGCATAAACTAAGTTCTGCAGTCTTCTATTAAGCGATGTGTAGCTATATATTAAAGGAGGGCTTCCTTGGTTCTGTTCCTAGAGCTGAGAATATCTGTGACTCTTGGCTGGAGGGGCTGAGAAGGAAAACCAAGCGCCCTCTTTCCCTCTCACCCTTCATCACACACCCTGACTTCTCACTTTCCACTAAGGAAAGCAGGTCAGCTGCTGAGTCAGTCTGTCTTTTCTCCGACTCTCTCTCACATACACATGCACATATGCATGCATATACACATGTACGAGCCCAGTGAGATCATCAGAAGGGGCATAAGATCTTGAAGAAGATCTTGAATTTACAGGGAATTCTCTTCCAATGGCCAGCTCTTTGGAAAGAATCAGAATACTTGGAAAGGGTGGAAACATCTGGCCTACTATTTGGAAACATGTGGCTCATAAAAAATTATGGATAACATTGAGAAGAATGGGAATTCCAGAACACTTGATTGGGCTCACGAGGAAACTGTACATAGACCAGGAGGCTGTCGTTCACACAGAACAAGGGAACATTGCATGGTTTAAATTCAAGAAGAGAGTGCATCAGGGTTGAATCCTTTCACCATATTTATTAAATCTGTATGCCAAGAAAATAATCCGGGAAGCTGGACTATATGAAGAAGAACACGCATCAGGATTGGAGGAAGACTCATTAACAACCTGTGATATGCGGATGACACAACCTTGCTTACTGACAGTGAAAATGAAACATTTACTGATGAAGACTAAAGACTAAAGTGTGCAGTATGGATTATATCTCAACAAAAAGAAAATGAAAAGCCTCACAACTGGATAAATAAGCAGCATCACAATAAATGGAGAAAAGATTGAAGTTGTCAATGATTTCATATTTACTTGGTTCCACAATCTGCCTAAAGCATTTGACTTAGCCAGAAGGCTAGCAGTTCAAAACTACCTGCCACTACCAGCCACTCCTCAGAAGGAAGATTGGGCAATCTACTTCTGTAGAGATACCACCTCAGAAACCCAAGGAGGGGTCACTATGAGTCGGGACTGACTCGATGGCAATGAGTTTGATTTGGAGTTTTGGTTCCACAATCAACACCAATGGAAGCAGTAGTCAGGAAATCAGATGATGTATTGCACTGGGCAAATCTGCTGCAAAAGACTTCATTAAAGTGCTGAGGAGCAAAGATGTCTCTTTGAAGACTAAGGTGTGCATAACCCAAGCCATGGTATTTTCAGTCACCTCATACGCATGTGAAAGCTGGACAATAAATAAGGAAGACTAAAGAAAAGTTGATGGATTTGAGTTGTGGTGTTTACAAAGAATACTGAAAGTCTCATGGATTGCCAGAAGAACTAACAAATCTGTCCTGGAAGAAGTGCAGCTGGAATGCTCCTTGGAAGCAAGAATGGACAAATTTTGTCTCACCTACTTTGCTCATGTTGTCAGAAGGGACCATTCCCTGGAGAAGGATATCATGCTTGGTAAAGTGGAGGCTCAGCAAAAAAGGGAAAGGCCCTCAATGAGATGGATTGACACAGTGGCTGCCACAATGGGCTCAGGTATAACAAGGATTGTGAGGCTTGCATAGGACTGAGCAGTGTTTCATTCTGTTATACATAGGGTCGCTATGAGTTGGAGCCAACTTGACGTCACCTAACAATAGCAACAACATATGGAAATGGAAACATGTATCTGTAAAATCTTGGGAACCAGTATCCTCATCACAACCTGTTGTGGTCCCAGCCCCTGTTTGATGGAGTCTCAGGGTGTAGAATCAGGGTCATGGTCTCCACATAAGACTGCATCCCAGAGCACAGCAGCATAGCATTCACAGTGAGGTCCTTTCCATGCCCTGCCACACACCATGTCCCAAACTCGCTTGACTTCCTGGGATGACTGCTGTAGGCTCCCCCAGTGCTTATCCTCACATGGCCTCCCCAGGCAGTTCTCACTGCAGCTGGATCATCTCCTTAGTATCAATCTCCTCTGACCTCGGCTTGGCCTGGACATCACATAATCCTGTTAGCACAAGTAGGCCAGCTGGCAGCTGGAAGTGCCCCAGGCAGAGGGCCCTGCTCCCCATACAAAAGAAGGTCTTTATCTTCAGGACATTGCTAAAATCAGTGACTCCTCAGGAGTGATCAAGTATAACCAAGTGACACAGCTTCCTTCACTGGGCCCAGGCTCTCATTAACCACTGGGTGTTGGAGACTCAGTTCCTGAAAACCAAGGGGTAATATTCTTTTAGCACTGACATTTAGGGTGACCTCTCTCACAATGTCTGCTGAAGTTCACCTTGAGGAATGTCTAAGGAAGGTTTGATCACCTTGATTTAACTCTGCTTTTCACAGTGTGATGTATTTGATTTAAACATTCAGTGTAAAATGAACAGCAGCAGGGGGGTAGCTGCCTTCCTCTGACTGTATGAAGGGGAAGAGACAGAATCAAGATCATCAGTCCAAGGCTGATTCCTATGAGGCAGAGGTCAGACATACCTCCACCCCCCAACCTTTTTACCAATTCTGACACCAATTGTCCCTCACACATCACTCTTTACTTCTTTACTGGGTTCGACAATTCATTGCAATAGCCACACAGAACTCATATATTCATGATGATGGGATTTATTAGGGAAGTAATAGGTTACTCTTTAGGATCCGGAATGACTCAGGATATGGTTCTTCGATTAGATCAGCTTCTTCTCAGTGGTGCCCACAGGCATGCCTCTCTCTGGCCCTCTCTGCCTCTTGGCCTCTGCCCTGCACTGGCAAGTGTTATAAAACTTCACCAGTAAGTGCTCAGAGGCACCCTACTCCATCAGTAAGCCTCAGCCTGGAGGCACTGAGCTCTTTCATTCTGTGGGTTGGCAAACCTAGATCTACCAATAAGTGCCTGGAGGCACCCCACTCTACCAGGAAGCCTCTTGTCCCAATGCACTCAGCTTTCTCACTTTTTGGGTGAGCCCATCCACTGTAGCCCCCTTGCTATATGGGTCAGGAAGCCCATCACATCTCATGCTTGTCTCCTAGTTCTGCTGCCACTATTTGTTGCTGCTTCTCACCATCTTGCGCCACCTCTGGTGTTATAGCTCTCTCTCTGTGTCTTCGTAGTTCTCAGGACGAGGACCCAGGGTCCAAAGGATACACTCCACTTCTGGTTCTTCTCTCTCGGTGCCAGTGAGATTCCCCTACTTTCCACCTCTAGAATGGCTCATTTTAAGCCTAGAGGGATGGCAAAACTGACCAATCCCCTCACTAGGGTTCCATATACCTTATTTACATGGTCCCACCCCCACAAGGATGCCATGCACCTTATTTGCATTACTAGCAAGCTGTCCAACCACCTTCATGGGCCACAGTACCTTATTTGCATAATCCCACCCAATCATTTTATGGGAGTCCTGAGACTATGAATGGCTAGAAGGACCATGTTAAATACTTCACTGCACTGCATAGGGCCAGCTCTTTGGAAAAGGGACACAGAAGGCAGGACTTGGTAAGGTAGATGGTGGGACTCTTAGCTACCATCATTTGTCAAAGTGGGACATAAGCCCCCATGGGACATTGGACACCCACCACCACCACCACATTCAGAAGTTCTTATAAATCTCAGGATAGCCTTTGGGATTCTTGGCTGGGGGAGGGGATAATAGGCTTCCTCAGACTCCAGAGCTGAATATAGGGCAAAGTGCAGTGTTACTTAGGGCTCTGGACTGTGTGGCCCTACAGGAGGTGTCCCCAGAAGAGACCCTGTCTGGAAACTCTCTGTCAGGCACCGGGCCCGCACGTGGACATTGGGCTTTGCAAGGAAATTACTAAGGGTAGCTCCAACATAGACCAGTTTAGGGCATGTGGCACTCATGGCCTCACTAATGGCTAGGTGAACCCCTTCATCTTACAGGGAGGGACACTGATGTGGGGAGGGAGTGGGATGTGGATACCACCATGGTCCTTAGTCCTGCCTACTTATGGACCTCTCTTAGTGAGTCCCCTGTCTGTCTTAGTCTCTACCCTATTTTCCAGACTGTCTGATTTTCATCACCCACTTTTCCTCTAACTCTGTCTTCCCACTTCCACCTTTGCCCACCCACTGCCTCTCAGATCTGCATACAGTTGGAGGAAAGGAGTAGGCAGGGCAGATCCCACAGGTCTGAGCAGGCCTTGCTTACCTTCCCCCAGAGGATCCAGGCTGTGGAGCATGAGCTGGTAGATGGTGCTGCGGATGGTGCTGTTGTGCAGCGAGGCCGAGCTGCTCCCTCGGGTCAGCACAGACGGGAGCTGAGCAAGGGGAGAGCCGCACAGGCCTCAGTGGGCCGCTGCCCAGCCCGGGGGAGAAGCCCACACACAAGCATCACTAACATGCCTCCATCCCATCGTAGAGATGCACAGAACAGGGAGAAGGCACAGAAGCCCTATCCTGGCCTCCCCTTCTTCCTTGACCTCAAACCAGAAGACTTACATGGCTTTCTTTCTCAGCCTCATTTCTGCTCTTCCATGACTGGCTAATTCTATATACTGAATAATTCCCCAAGGTCTCAACCCAAAGCAGACAATATGTATTAAAGATACTACATTACCAAGGGTTTATACACACCTACCCATAAAGACACACGCATGCAGAAACCACACAGACCCAAGGGGAAGAGTCCATGGCACACGGGCACAGCCCCTTACAGTTAATGAAGAGTACTATCACATTTTCTCACCACCCACCCCCACAAGATACACAAGGCTATGACCCCCATTTTATAGCAAAAGAAACAAAAACCCAAAGAGGCCCAGAGGCTTATCCAAAGTCATGTGGGCAGTAAATGAAAGAGACAAAACAAGCATCCAGGGCTTCTGATTCCTAGTCTAGTTTTTTTCTACCCAAGTGCTTAGAAACCTTCATAGACACACACACACACAAACACACCATCTGTACTTCAGACACAAATATACTGTAGTGACATACTCAACCATAGTGACACACATAGAAATATGACATACAATGGAACATCCTAAGACAAATGCTTACTCAGTCCATACCACTCTCTCTCTCTCTCTTTCTCTCTCTCTCTCACTCAGTCTTTCCATCTCTCCATTTCTTTATCCCTCCCCCCCAACCCTCCATCCCTTTCAGTCTGAACTCTTCTGCCATCTAGTGGACGTAGTAACACAGTGCTTCACAGCAGGCCTAGAGATTTACTTTGGATGGGGGAGGTTTCAGGCCAGAGAGAGAAGTCCCAGCCTCTCCTCTCAAATGTCCCAGTAATTCTTCCCAGATGCCCAGATACAACAGCCAAGAAACAGCTTTTCAGAAACCTCAGATCCCTGTCCTGTGCCTCTCCTTTTTTTCCCTCTTAGTTCTGGGCCATTCCAGCTCCAACTTTTAGATTCTACAAGCACAGGATTCCTGACTAAGCAGGACTTGAGAGTTCATCGAGAACAGTCATTTTACAGATGCAGAATTTGAGGTACAGAGAAGCACAGACCTGCCGAGGTCATACAGCAAGTTAGTGGGAGAACCATGATATTTCAGACCTGGCTCCCAAACTAGTACTTCCTTACCCGGAGGTGAGAGTCCTTCTGGTAAAGGAGTCCCTCCTTCCCAGCTCACCCTGGCAGCACTCCCGGGAGCTGGATCATAGCCTAGGACCTCCAGCATCAGGACTGCAGTGCCCTGCGTCTGTGGCTGTCAGCTGAGATCCTGCAGTGTCCCCACTGGGCAGACTCCACATGGCACCCACCTTCAGCTTCTTCTTATCCTGTGGCTCATCCACTGCAACGGCCCCATCACCCGGCTGCAAACAGGGACAGGAGTCACGAGATGTCTGGGAGAGATCCTCACTCTTTCTCCCTACCTTCCTCTCTTTCTAGGGAAGCCCTCAGATTGGAACACAGAAACACTCCTGGAGATAACCTGGTCTCAGAAAATGTTTTAATATGTCCAACCATCCCCCTTGGCCTGGCCTTCCAGTCTGGCTCCAGCCCACACACAGTATTTCCAGTTAAATGTGTTCACTCCCTATTGTCTTGTAACGCCAACTGTCCTTCAGTCCCTCCAATGTTTCATGCCCTTTACTCGCTGCAAAACCCTCATCACAGAATTGCTCCCTCGCTCCTCATGCTTCAGATCTCCAGTGAGATGTCACTTCCTCTCAGAAGCTAAGGTGCCCGTATACTACTCTTTTATAGACTCCTGCCACTCCGCAGAAGGAAGACTAGGCAATCTACTTCCATAGTGATACTGCCTTGGAAACCCAAGGAGGGGTTGCTATGAGTTGGATCTGACTCAACAGCAGTGAGTTTGGTTTTGGTTCTTTTCCTGCATAGCACTTTCCTCCATTTATTTTATGTTAATAAACATACAAATAAATTGATTGCCCTACTAGCGCCTTGAAGGCGGAGTGTCTGTTTTATTCACTATGTGCCCAAAATGAGAATACTGCCCAGCACCTAGCAAGGGTTCAATAAATATCTGTTGAATGACTGAGAGAATCAACGCTAATACAATTAATCTATTCCAACTCCAGCATCCTTGCTCATGTCTTTTCCCTTGCCTAAAATGCCTTCTCCATTCCTACCTACTCAAATCTTACCCATCTGCCAGGAAACTCAAGGGTGAATTCTTACATAAAGGTTTCTCCAGTAGCCCTTTCTACACCCACCTCCACCTCCATTCCAGCTCACTGCTTTACCTCTCTCCTGAGAACTACATAATAACAGTGAGAACATACTGTGATGTCAAAATCTAGGTTGTGTCATCAGAGAAGTGCTAGTGTCCTGAGGAAGCCTATAGGACCTTGCAGTGGGAAATTGAACAGCCCCAGAAAATCCAACATGAACAATCAGGCCCACAGTGTTTACCATCTGGACCACTTGTTTACCAGTTGATGTTTCCTGACTTGTAATACCATTTGCATTGTCTTTGTTGTTTTTCTTTTATAAATACCATTATTTAACCTTTCACATAGGCAAATCATCTACCCAGCTAGATGTCACATATTTTTTTTTTGTCATGCAATGAAGTTCTGATATAATCATCTTTATTCCCCTGTCTTATACACGTAAGGTGCTCAGTAAAAGTAAGCTGAATGAGTAGATATTCCAAAGTGACTTCTAGTTCTTTCTCCAGTCAGTAGGTCACTAATGGCTATCCCCAGTAATTGTTCTCACCTTCCCATTGCCTCCCCTATCACCCCAACCCAGAATCAAGCTGGACTTGCTATATCCCCTTCTCTGTTCCTGAACCATATCCATGCTGCTGCTCAAGCAAAACACCTTAGCAGCATCCTTAACTTCCGCATTCTCCCACTCTACATTCACCTTCATCACCAAGTACAATTGGTTCCGTCTTCAAAAGCTCTTTCAAATATGTACACATCTCTTTCCCCACCACACCACCATCCCTCACCTGGAGGGCCAAGACCAGAGCTTCAAACCAGTTTAGCCCAGTTCAATCATGGCTGATGAAGCAACACTGGAATGGACCTGAATTTTTTAAATGTGGGTGAACCAGAATGATAACCGGAAAGGGAAAAGCTACAGGTGGAAGACCTGCTAGAAACTTAATCTCCCTCTTAGAAAAGAAGGACAATGTATGCACTGCATAGCAACCAAATCTCTTCACTCAAACAAACTCACTGCCATCAATTCAACTCTGACTCAGAACGATCCCCATAGGGTTTCCAAGGCTGTAAATCTTTACAGAAGTAGATTGCCCCATCTTCCTTCTGCAGAGCAGCTGGTTTGAACCCCTGACCTTCTGATTAGCACCCAAATGCATTATCCACTACACCACCAGAGCTCCTTAATCTCCTCACTGTTGTTGTTGTTGTTATGTGCCATCGAGTCGGACTCCATGGGTTGCCGACGCAGTATCACTACGGAAGTAGATTGCCCCATCTTCCTTCCGAGGAGTGGCTGGTGGGTTTGAACCGCCAGCCTTCTGTTTAGCAGTCAAGTGCTGTAGCCACTATGCTACCAGAGCTTCTATTCCATCTTATGCACTAGGAAAAGATAGTTCTGTGTTGTATGAATGCACTGTAAAATCTCAACTACAAGCAAACACATATCTGTGGAAAGAACAAGCTATTGGACTAAGCATGATCAGATGTTTGAGTTTTTCTGCTAATATTTGTTTGTTTCCTATGTGTTCATTTTGTCATCTGCTACCACCCACTAGAAGTTGGGCACTGAAAGCTTAAGAAAATTATAGGAGGAAAAGAAACCTTAAAATTGAGAATCGTATTCACTATCTTTTCCTGACAATGAGAGGAAGCTGTCACCAATCATGTGGCTTATGGTGAGGACTGGTCCTTCCTGTCCAATCCTGTAACCTCTCAATTTGTCTTAAACTCTCTCTGTAAAGAAGAGTTTGTGGTCCTTCAAATACAAATAAGTCTTCAGTCAGGCTAGTGCCTCAGTTTTGCTATTTGTTTGCTTTTTATGATTCTGTGATCAAGGCAGGTCAGATATTTGTTATTTTTTGGCCAGAATAAATAACTTGAGTGCTTCGAAACCAGGGGTAAGATTTCGGAAGAGAGCTGTTAGCCTGTATTGATAACTATAGAAACATCAAACATTTCCTTATTAAGGTCATAAAAATCATCCTTACACCAGTGTGTGTAAATTTCACAATGTGGTCTGAAATATTTTTAGCTTTGATTTATTTTTATTTTTTATTTTTTTAGCCAGTGTCAAAAGAGACTGTAATATAATTAATTACTGTATCCTATGGTCAATACTATATCATTTATTTTTTTCTGGAAATACTCTTTAATAAATTCTGGCTAGAATCACTCCCCAAAAACCTTTATCCTGGTTTTAGATAGTCAGGAAAAAAGCTCAGAAACTGCACAGATAAAAGTTGGGTGAACAGTCAGTGAATAAATTCTCTGCTGTTTTTTGTCTCCAACTTGTTCAGACAGAACACCTTCAAGTTCTGTTGCTCTCTGTAAAATACCACGTAGCCATTGTTGTCCATTTATTTATTGTCTGGCTGCTTTCATGTTACAGTAGCAGAGTTGTGATGGAGACCATACAGCTTGCAAAGGCTAAAATATTTACTTTCTGGCCATTTACAAATAAAGCCTGCACTAGTTCACCCCATTCATTTCATATATGAGTAATCTAAGGCCTGGCTCAGAAGCAAAGTGACTTTGTAGCACTTTGCACAGTGTCCCCTTAATTACAGTTCTGTTTTGTCTATGTTTGTCTCTTCTGCTGGAAGGGATGCAATCTTGTTATTTCCCACACTGCTTTTCACTTACATTCTTAATCATAAGGGTTTGTCGAATAGCCCAGGGTACTGGGGATAATTAGCAATGAAGCCTGAGTTAACACCCAGACACACTGATTCATAAACCAGTGATAAAGACCTCCTACTAGCTGTGTAACTTTGGCTGAGGTAATTACCTTATCTAAGCCTCAGTTTCCTCATCTGCAAAATAGGGATAACAATCTATTCCTCACAGGGTGTTTATGAGAAGCTGTTGAGATAATGTATGTATGGAATAGACCTTTCATAAATACTGATTCTCTCCCTCACTCCTTTCTTTGTTTAAACTACAGTCCCTGAATTGTTAGAGTTCCCTGAGGAAACCAAGCCAAATATAGCTATGTGTCACTCAATGTCCAAGATATGTTCTGTGAAATGGGATGTTATATGACTTTGACATTGTGCAAACACAATGTTCAAACTTTATAGCAGCCCACTTCTGGCTGTCCTCATCCCTGCTGCTGCTACTGGAGCCGCTGACAGAGACCAGAGGAATGGGCATCCAGAGCTAGAGGAAGCGGGTGGGGAGGGAGCAGAGTGCACCCAGCCCCACCTGCTGTTCTCCCTGCTTGAGCAGCAGGGTCAGCGGGCTCCACAGCCCCATCCCACCCCACCTCCCACCGCCTGCCCACCAGACAAAGCCCAGAGCCCTCTCCTCTGCTCCACCTCCCTATATCTCAACCGTGATCCAGTGCTACAAGAGCCTGGGTTTGAAGTCTTTAAAACCATTTAGGGGGAAGTAATAAATAAAAGGAGAGCTGCTTTCCCTTTAAAAAAAAAAAAAAAAAACCTTACGGAACCAATGATGATATATATGTGGTCAGGCATTGCCCTAGTTCAGTGATGTATGTTGTTGTTGTTGTTACATGCCATCAAGTCAGACCTGACCCATAGCAATCCCTCCTTGGGTTTCTGAGGCTGTATTACTATGGAAGTAGAATGCCCAACCTTCTTTCTAAGGAGTAGCTGGTGGGTTTGAACTGCCAGCCTTCTGGTTAGCAGTCAAGGGCCTTAGGCACTATGCTACCAGAGCTCCTACGTGATGTATACCTGTACTTACTTAGCTCCTGCTAGAGGAAAGACCCTAGAAAATGTTTCCCTATTTAGTGGCAATGATGCACCTGACATTGTGGCCACATCCTCCATACCTCACCTGTTTGGCCATGCAGGAAGAGGGAGGTCCAGGTGTCTTTGCTGTTCCTATTTATCTCCAAGAAGAAGCTGGCTCACACTGCCTATACTTCTCTTTCCCTACATAGACTTCCTGAGCAGCTGTGTCTCTGACCTCACCTCCCTAGTCCTGCTCCTTGGCTCCCAATGAGTTGGTCTGGCCTTAAATCATTTCTCTTTTGACTTTCTCACCTTTGGAACCATGCCTGTGTGAATAATCTCAGTTTACCTAGGTTCCTGCCTTCCCTAGGTGATGCTTTAAAAAGAGGCCCATTAGGCAGGGAGAGGTATTAACCAGTAAATGTGCCCCATTCATACCAGAATGAATATTCTGAGCAAGGCAGGTTCATTGTCATAGTTAAAGTAAAACAGTTTACAGGGATAGGTACAGACTATAACATGAAATCACAAAAACTAATACCAACACACTTTACTACATCAAAGATTTGATCTTCAGAGTTTGTTCATGAATTCAGTATTGCTTGTCCTTGTTTGTCAGTGAAGTTCTGATAATTTATCTCCCTCTAACCAGATCATAGGTCTTAGCCAGCAAAAGAAAGACTCAAAGATACAAGCAAAGGCACTTCCCTCCTTCTCCTGCTATAAGAAAATAAAACCCCCAATCCATATGTTTTTAAAACTATTTCAGGGCAATCTACTTCCATAAAGATTTATCTCCTCGGAAACCCAGTGGGGGTCATGAGTAGAAATTGACTCAATAGCAGTGAGTTTGGCTTTGTTTTTTATAGTTCTTGAAGGAGCTCTGGTGGTGTAGTGATTTAAGCATTCAGCTACTAACCAAAAGGTCAGTGGTTCAATCCACCAGCCACTCTGGGAGAGAAAGATGAGGCAATCTGTTACCATAAAGATTTACAACCTTAGAAACCTTATAGAGTAGTTCTACTCTTTCCTATAGGGTTGCTCTAAGTTGGAATTGACTTGATGGCAGTGGATTTGGGTTTGATTGTAACTCTTGACTATTTTGGATTAATTTTCAGAAGGCAGTTGTTAGTAGTTTGGTCTTAATTTCAAATAAATGTAGATTTACTTTCAAGCATAGCCAGTAATTCAATCTGCTTTTTTAAAAATAATGCTGTCAAAGAGATGGAAACAACCTAAGTGCCCATCAACCAAGGAATGGATGACCAAACTGTGGTACATGCACAGCCCTAAGTAATAATGTAGAATCTGCAAAACACTGCATAACATGGATGAACATGGAGAACATTATGCTTATGTTATAAATCAATCACAGAAGGATAAATATTGTATTAATCCACTATTGCAAAAAGTCAAGGAAAGGCTTATATTTGGAAGGAAAATTTCTTTGTTGGTTACCAGGGATGGGAGGAGAGGGAAAATTCCAAGACAGGTTGAAAGGAAAATAAAAAATAATTATACACACACACACACACATATATGTTGTTGTTATGTGCCGTCAAGTCGGCCCCGACTCATAGCGACCCCTCCTTGGGTTTCCGAGGCAGTATCACTACGGAAGTAGGATTGCCCAACCTTCCTTCCGAGGAGTGGCTGGTGGGTTTGAACCGCCAGCCTTCTGGTTAGCAGTCAAGTGCTTTAGCCACTATGCTACCAGAGCTCCTATACATACATACATATATATATATATATATATATACACACACACACAGAGACATATACATACCAAAGTGGTTACCAGGGGTAGGAGGGAGGAGGAAAGGGGAAGCTTTTGTTTGCAGGGCATTGAGTTTATGCTAATGGTGGTAGAATGTTTTGGAAAAGGATAGCAATAATGGTGACACAACATGAAAAATGTCATTAATGTCCCTGAGCTGTGAACATGGAAGTTGTTATGTTGGTGAATGTTTTGTTGTGTATGTCTTCACCACAATAAAAGTAATAATAATAATAATAATAATGTTGTCAATCAAGTCTTACTCACTGTTTCAGCAAATAGGTAAGAACAGCATTCTTATCTGTAGGACCCATAGGGTCCCCTAGACTGTAATCTTTATGGGAGCAAACTGCCTCATCTTTCTACCATGTGATGGCTGGTGGGTTCAAACCGTCCAGCCCTTAATCACTGCACCACCAGACCTCCTTATAAAGCCCTTCAGGAACCTCTTAAGTATGCTACAAATTCTCTTTTGAAATCATGATTTTACTTGGCAAGTTTTATTTTGATGATTTAACTGACAAAATTGAAAATTCATAATTCGTAGTATTTAAGTAACACTGGAATGGCTATGAAGGAGGAGGTAAGTCAGAAGCATTTTGAAAAAAAATGCTGGCCTGATGCACATCAAGGAATTGGATGTGATTCTCAGAGGACAAAGTCAAGAGTCCATAGCTGCCTTTTCTCAAAGCTGCCCTCACAATTTCAAGAGGGAGGCTCCTGTTTCCTCATATGAAATTATGTAGTGCTCTGAGTCTCCTTTTCTAAGCTTGTGGGTTAGAGGACCAGTGGTCTGGTGGGCAATAGCACTGAATGGGGAGTTAGAAGGCTGAGTGCCCATTCCAGTTCTGTCACCCACAGGCTGGCATCCTATCTTATTCTGACTCAGAATAGGATATTTCTCCTTTCTGAGTCATCTGCAAATGGGGAAACTAGAGCTCTGTTGACCATATTAGATAAATTTTGCTGGGTTCCACCAGAGTTGAACTCACTTGGACACGTAACATTATCATAGAATGTTAGAACTGAGCACGATTTTTCAGTAATTGTCAGTAATTAGTTGGACTCATATCATTTCTCCCAGAGAAGGAACCCGTCCAAGGTCACAGAGCTAATTAGAGGCAGAATGAGATCAGAACCCAGGTTTTCTTACTCTCAGTTTAAAAACAAAAAAGGACATACATTTCCTCTCCCTTGTATCACATTCCTCCCATACATGTTGCTGAGTTCGGTCTCCATCCTGCCCACTCATCAAAACTGCCCTGGATTAAGTAGCTAAGACCTTCCACTCTTTGCACGCAAAATTCTGCTCACACCAGTGGCTTCTCTGAGACTGGAAACGGGCAAGTTTTGAGCCAACCCTTCCCCAAAATTTGCCCTCTTGGAGCAGGAGAGAAATGGGGTCTATGTTCCCTAGGTTACCCTCGCTTTGGAGTCTCAAGGGATAAGAAACTTTGGGATGAATTTACCAGAGATTACTTAATCTCATCTTCCAGGTAATTGAATCACCCAATGAATTTAGCAGGAAGGTACCTGGAGAGGGGAGGGGGACAGAGGAATTCACCGGAAGAAACTTGTGGGCTGGTATCTGGTCACCAGTCAGCTCAGAGAAATGGCTCTGCACTGAGGGCATGCTTGTCAGTGGAGGAGTGGACATCCTATCTTCTCCAACATTTAAAAAAAAAAAAAAAAATCCCTTTCTTCTTAGACCCAATTCAAGCCACTCAGCTTGGAATGTGAACAAACGGGATTAAGTGAAAGTGAGGGTGCTAGATAAACCCTAAACACCATGCACATGGACGAGATTAGCATTTTTTCCCCTGCCTGGTATTTCCTTGGATATTTGCCAAAGCCCAGCTGAAATGTCATTTCCAAAGATCCAGTCAAACAAACCTGGGTTCAAACTCTGGCTCCATCACCTATTTGCTGTGTGACCTTGAACAAATGGTTTAACTTCTTCCGGCTTCAGTTTCCTCCCTCACAAATGGAAGATCTTAATAATAACCATTTTATTGGGTGATTTGGAGTTGAACGAAGGTCATGCTTGCGAGACCCCAACATAGTGCCTGGCAGAGAGCAGGCATTCTGTAAATATTGAATGAATAACAAAGGAACCAGAAGCACCTAGCTCTTGAGGTCTGACCCAGAATTTTCTACTCTTCAGCCCTGGCTGCCTCTTCCTACCCTGTTCACCCAAAAGGGGTAGAGAAGTCTGACCAGCCCGTCCTTACCTTGCTGAGGTCCCCTAGTGCCATAACCTTTACTATGGGCCTCCGGCTAAGCTGCTCCTTTACCCACAGCTCAAGCTGCTTGTTCCATTTCATGGTGAACACATAGAGGGCATAGGCCAGCAGCAGCAGCAGGCTCTCCCACCAGGCAATGAGGCTGTCTAGGAAGAAGAGGATGAGCATCATCAGGTCAAGGATGTAGAAGGAGACGTCACGGAACAAGGGCCACCAGGTGAGATTGAGGATCTCCCGGGAGAAGAGGGCACAGGTGCCAATGACAAAGAGGATGTTGAACACAGCAGAGCCCACGATGGTGCCGATGCCCACATTGCTGTGGGAGATGAATACACCAATGAGGGAGGTGAAGAGCTCAGGGGCAGAGCCCCCAGCAGCCATGAATGTGGCACCTGCCACATCCTCTGAGATCTGCAGCTTGTCTGTGATGACACCCAGGGCTGGGACAAAGTACTCATCACACACGATGGCCAAGGCCACAAACACGTACATCATGCCGAAGATGTGTAAGACCACCCAGCCCTGCCGACGCTGCTGTACACTAAACAGGTCCGGAGGGTACTCTCCTTTGGGGTGGAGGTCTGGCCAGCTGGAGGGCAGCACTGAGGGGCTGGGACTAGGCTCCTCTGTCTTCAGGCCAGAGGAGGGGGTGGTGGGCACTGCTGGCACTGGCTCCACAACCACACAGTGATGGACCTGGATGGTCGGGTTTGCCCTGGGCCTAGGGGTTACTGAGGTTCTGGGTGCTAAGGAAGGTTTCTTCAGCAGCCCCTGGAAGGTGGCTGAAGCTGTTCTGATGGTTGGTACACTGGTTCTGGGTGAAGAATTCCTAACACTCCAAGAGGCAGTGGAGGCTTTGGTTTCTGCTGGGCTGCTGACTGGCCTGGTGCTTACTGTCACTTGTCCCTCAGAGATGGCTGGGGTGTGCTCCAGGACTGCTCTCTGGGGAGTTGTTAGGTTGTTCTTTCCCACTAGCCTCCAGGGTTTGGTTGGGCTGTCACTTTCCACTCTTCTGAGGGTAGTCAGGGTGTTCTTTTCCACTATACTCCTTGGAGAAGTCAAGATGTTCATTTCTACTTCATTTGTCAAGAAAAGTGGGGTGCTGTCAGCTATCCCTTTGGGAGTAGTTGGGGTATTTTCCTCTACTATTCTCTTGGGGGTTTTGGTCCCAGTTATTTTGTAGGTTGCCATAGTTTCACTGTCTTTCACTGTTGTTCTGGGAGTGATCACATAGCTTGTTTTCATTGTCATGAGTATAGATGAAGCATAATTATCTACTGTTCTACCAGGTGGGGATGAGGTCTGTTTCTTCACCTTTTTCCTGACTTGACTTGGGTAGTAGCTCTTCATTTCTCCCCTGGGTGTTACTGGGGTATAATTCTTTACTGTTTGTCTGCTTGAAGTTAGGGTGTGATGATTCCATACTCTGTTGGGTGTTGTTGGAGTGTTTTCTTTCACACTTTTGGTGCCTGTTGCTGTTGGGCTGTAGTTATTAGCGGGTATTGTTGGAATGATGTTGGCTGTTCTTCTGGGTGAACTGGGGGTGTCCTCCATGGTTATGCCAAATGTTGCTTCATCCCTTTCCACTGTAGCTTGAGAAGCCTGCATCTCGCTCTCCATTTTAGAGCTAGCTTCGAGAGGGTCACTGCTCTCCATCACCATCTCATCACTGGAGAGGTCTTGGCTGGCCAGTTTTACGAGGTGTTGGGAAGAGACTGCTTCCCACAGTGGGGGGAGACCCCAGGAGCTTCTAAGGTGCTGGTAGGTGGAACTAATAACCAACATTGCCAGTAGAAAGAGGAGGCGACTCCAGTGAAGCCTCTTTGGCCTGAGTAACCGCCTCTCCTGTACCCCCAGTCTGATCAATTTCCCCATGGTGGCCAATTGTGTCTGGCTACAAAAGGCTTCTCATTCTGTCCTTGGAAAGATGGGGGCTGCTCTGGACTGCAGGTTGGTAACTAGGGAAGATTGTACCATGAAACCCAGCCAGGTGGTGGCCACAAACCTTAAAAAAAGAAAAAAAAAAAAAAGGAGTTATTTGCCCCTCAGTGGAAAGCTGGGACCCCACCACAGCACCATCTGCAAAAATTAAAAAGTAAGGTGAGAAGCCTCCAGGGACATAAAAGCGTCATAAAGAAGGCTTTAATGATGGAGGGCAGTTGTTTCTGTTGGAACAGAATTATCCCACTCCCTGTAATACCTGTTCTTGGTGAAAAGAGTACCAGAGGGTTCTTGGTGCTATGCACCCTATGTGGGCACTAGTAGCCCAAGTTCCTGAGCTGGGCCTTGTGTGCCCTATGGATTCCATTGGTTCTTCCTGCAAAAGGTCTATCAGCACTATTCAGGCTCCAAGTCTGAGTTGCTGAGAGCTCAGTCTTCTGTGTTTGGTGCCCCAGACCACAGATCTCACTTCATCAAAGGCAGGAAGGAGGGAGGCATGATTTTAAGTTTAGACCAAAAATGGAAGGCACTGCCAAGAAAATCAAGGCTCCGTATATTTTTTTATGACTAACATAAAAGGATTCCACTATATCAACCAGAGGAACTCTGGTGGCATAGTGCCTAAGGCACTTGACTACTAACCAGAAGGCTGGTGGTTCAAACCCACCAGCCACTCCTCAGAGAAAGACTTGGCAATCTACCACCTTAGAAACCCAAAGAGGAGTCACTATGAGTCACAATCGACTCTACAGAAGAGTTGTTTTTTTTTTTTTTATATCAACCAAAGACAAAACTTGAAAGTTAATGTCATGGTCATGGAGTTTCCCAGATAGTGTGGTGTGGTAGGAGGAATGTGCAGTGTAGAGTCAAGGCCTGGATTCCCAGCTCTGCTCTTACCAGCTGTGCCACCCTGGACAGGTGGAGCCAGGGTGCTTCATCTGTGAAATGGACATAATAACATATATATTGATTACACAAAGCATTACACATACAGATTCAAGTGCTAATGATTAGGATGCAAGAGGGAAAAACAGAAAGGGATCTCAGAAAAAAAAAAAAAAAACTCATTTTGTAATAAAGGACATGAGACCCAGGCCAACTGAATATTTGACACACTCTAATCAATGTCCACAGACTTACAAAACCATAACCAGAAAGACTTAGTTTTACAAATGATAATAATATGTTAGAAATAAGCCAAATAACTCATAGAATCTTAGTGTTAAAGGTAGAAAGAATTATAGACACTGTCTTGTACAACTCCTCATTTGAAACATGATGAAAACTGAGATCCAGAGAGAAGTGACTTGTTCAACATCACACAGCCAGTGAGTCCCAGTCTTTCCAGCAACAACACTAATTAGAGAAGCAAATATAATTGCTGTAAAAAGCAAAAAAGGCCAGCAGAAGAAGTCAGGAAAAGCGAACTTCCTTCCTTCCTTGATTCCTATTATTTTCTTTCTACCAACTCCCTACAGCCACCTTGCCCACTGCCATGAATGAAGAAGCGCTTTGTGACAAGTTTCTTTCTCTTAAAGAAACGTCAGAGGGTCCCTCTCTGCCTGGTATCCCCACATTACGCAACAGAGCTGAGCTGGCACCCCAGCTTATCCCTCCTTCCTAATCACACCATTTACCTTCAAACCTCGACATCTGGGGGGTCTTCTCAGTTCTGGAAACTCATCAGAATCAAGAGTCTCAAAGAGTGGGTCTGAAGCTGGCCAGCAGGGAACACCCCATTTTCCTCCCCTCGGTTCCCCTATGGAATCCTATTCACGGCGAGGTCAGGTATGAAGGGCATTATCAGTGGAAAAATATCCAATCCCGGCTAATACCCGCCTCCCTTAAGAAGCTTATCAGGGCATTGTACAGGTTCTGGGTGCCAGTGCCTCTGACAGAACCCGAGGGGTGCTCCTGCACCAGGGACACAGATGGGGGCTCTCTGTGGGCCCCCGAAGCTAAGTGAACTTCTCAAGTTTGTTTCTAAACTAGGGGAATGGTAGGTGATCCTGGGTTTCCCTAATTAAATTCATTGCCATCAAGTCAATTCCAATTCTGACTCATAATGATCATATAGGTCAGAGTAGAACAGTCCCATACAGTTTCCAAGGCTGGAATCTTTCCAGAAGCAGACTGCCACATCTTTCTCCTACAGAACCACTGGTAGGTTCGAACTACCAACCTTTTAGTTAGCAGCCAACCCTTCAACCACTGCACCATTAAGCTCTTTTTCCCTGTTCAAACTCACTGCCATCAAGTTGATTCCGTCTCATAGTGATCCCCATTGGGTTTCCAAGGTAGAAAATCTTTACAGAAGTAGATTGCCCTGTCTTCCTTCTGTGAAGTGGCTGGGGGGTTTGAACCACTAACCTTCTGGTTAGCAGTCAAATGCCATAGGCATGGTACAACCAGCGCTCCTTTCTTCCCTGCTTAGGAGGCAGAAATACTTGGAATAATTCAGAAGGTTCTCCAAGGGAGAGAGAAAATGCCTGAGGTTTAAGAGATCAGAAAGCCACGGTTAGCATCTAAGATCCACTGGCAACTTACTAACTGTGTGATTCTAAATGTAATCTGAATGTACATGTGGGATAATAATACTTGTCTTATGGTGGCAATGAGGAAGAGGAAGACATAGAGAGGTGCAAGGGAGCTACAGACAAAAAAAAGATGAACCCTTTTGCACATACAGTACTGTGTTGTCAGTGAAGGCAAACATGTATATATGGGTGGATATATGGGTAGACAGGCTGAACTATTAGGTATGTCTATGCAGGGCGGAGTGTGCCCAAGGCCATGTATAGGGTTGGCAGACAATGTTTCTACAAGTGTATTGGTATGTTCTGTAAGAATTCTGACAAGGGGCAAGGTTGTAGTCACTTCTTGGCCACAGCCAGCTACACAGAGGGAGTGAGTAGTTAGACCTATCGGCTTGGGATCATAGTCACAGGGGACATCAAGCTCAACTGGCATAACGTACTACACAAAAACATTGTCCCACATCCTACTTTGGCCAGTAGTGACTGGGATATTGAAAGCTTGCAAGTGGCCATCTATATGCAACAATGGGGCTTTCCTCATCCAGGGCAAAGAATAATGAAGAAAACCAAAGATGCATGGAAACAATTAGTCCAAGTGACTGGTACACCATGTGATTCTCTGCCTATATGACTATAAGACCAGAAGAACTAGATGGTGCCCAGCTACCACTGCCAACCACTTAGACAGGCCTCTCTGTAGGAGATCCTGGATAGAGTGGGCAACAATATGGTACAAAATTCAAAATCATTTAAAAAAAAAAGAAAAAGGACCTGGTTTGCTGGTCTGATAGAACCTGATGGGACCCCTGAGACTATGGCCTCTGGCTGCCCTTCAGGTCTGGAATTGAACCCACTCCTGTGGCTTTCAGCCAAACAAAAGACAAGCATATGAGCTGAATATTTACATTAGGTACATACACTCCTTGTAGAGAACAATCATGGAAGAATAGAAAGGCTGTGTATGCACAGAGAGACAGCTAGGGCAGCAGCAGTGCATGGGAGGGAAGGACACAGGGAAGAGGTGACAATGGGGAGGAAGTGGGAGGGGAGCTGTTCCACTGTGGGAAATTGTAGTCAATGTCATGAGACAAAATATATGTGAGCTGCTGTGTGGAAAATGAATTTGCTCTATAAACTTTTATCCAAATCACAATAAAAATTTAAATAATAATAATAATAATAATACCTGTCTTATCTATTTGTAGAGTGGCTGTGAGAATCAAAAGAGGAGGGAATGTGGTGAAAAGTACTTTGCAAACTTTAAGGTATTTTTCTCATTAATATTTTGATAATTAGACCTAAAGGAAATAGTTGGAGAAGAGGGCAACAATGTTGGATCTCCCCAGTGTGGCTGGGACGTCCCAAGATACGCAAGAAAGTGGACCTCTGAGCCTCTCACTCCTGCAGCCTTTGACTTGAAGCCAATTGAAGTGCAAGTGGGGTGGAGTAGGGGGATGTGCTCCTGACTCTATGCTTTGACCTGGAAGACATTTCAATCAATGACTGGTAGTTACTGGTTGTCCCCTTCCTCCTATATCTCCCAAGGTACATAGATGGCATGGTGTTCTTTTCATCTGCAATGTTGTTCTTGTTGTGAGCTGCTATCAAGTTAGCCGCCAACTCATGGCAACCCCATGCACAACAGAATGAAACTCTGCCTAGTCCTGTGCCATCCCCATGATCGGTTGTGGATTGGATCATTATTATCCATAGGACTTTCATTGGCTGATTTTTTAAATTAGATTGCCAGGCCTTTCTTCCTAGTTAGTCTAGATGCTCTGCAGAAACCTGTGTAGTATCATAGCAACATGCAAGCCTCTACTGACAGATGGGTGGTGGCTGTCCATGAGGTTCATTGGCTGGGAATCAAATCCATCTCCTGCACAGAAAGGGAGAATTCTACCTCTGAAACACCACTGCCCCCATTTTCATCTGAAACAGCAGGTAATTTTTCCACAGCCTCCCCTTGAGAGACCTGGAACACTAAGAAGCTCCCTTTGCTGAAATGCATAGGGAAGCCGCCACTCTGAGGAAGAGCTATCTTTACCTCAGGTGTTCTAAAGTCACTTTGGATGTGGGAATTCTGGGGTGGGGGACTGGCCTCTGCTATTTACTACCTCCTTGTCTTTACACTGCTGCAGGCAGAACAAGAGCTGTTTCCTCCCCTTCTCGTGCCAATTGTCTAACAGTTTTAATCTGACCCAGAAAAAGATGGAAAGAAATAACACACTTCATGAGGTGGAATTATGAGTGAGATTCCCACCCCACCCCACCCCAGAATAATTTCTCTGTTGTTACAAAGTGGTAAGTGCAATATAGAAAAATAAGGGGAAAAGTGAATTTCTAGAAAACAGATTCATTACTATCATAACTGTTGTTGAGGAGTTCTTGCTAGTG